AAAGGACAAGCGCGCGCCTGTATCGGAGGGACAAAACTGAATTACGGCTCACGCTATAAAAAAATAATCACGCCTCACGGCTAATTTTTTTCGCATTTTCACGAATCACGGCTAATTTTTCAGCCGTTTCACGGCTCACGGTTAACCCCATTGAGACCCTCCGGCTGGGAGGTCCGTATAGGAAAACACTGTCCGAGGTCTTGACAGTACGGAACGAGCGCAGCGAGGCCTATAGCCGGTAAATGTTTTTTATTTGTATTTTATGCAACTTTGCTCGCATCCTACAGCTGCAGGATACTTACGGACCGGGCCAGAGGAGGGAGCAGTAGTACCTCACAATGCATTGCGTTTCAGACTATATTACCAGTTTTTATGTGACGTCATGACTTGTTTTTGCTCTTGGCCGAGTAAAGATCAATGGCGGAAAACTTTGACTCGTTTGTCAATTTCATCTCTAGAATTTCGATTACAGAGATGAAACTCTCAAAGACTCTTCTTTTTTATACATTCATTGTATAAGCAAGAACATAAAAGGAATTGTCTTTTTAGACCTTATTTGTCGACAAGTGGACTGTTTGCTGTTGATAACGCAAATCAGACAAGGTTGGCCTTCAGATAATCGACTAATATCTCCAGAGATCAAAGAGTACTTCCAACACAGAGAGAAACTAACCGAACACGACGGACGCAATATTGATACCACCCACTTTACGCAAAGACACTCTACACAAGCTACACAGATCGCATCAAGGAATCGAGAAAACAAAGCAATTGGCCYGACAAACCATTTTCTGGCCTGGCATGTCAACACAGATTGAAGACACAGTGTCAACTTGTAACACCTGTCAACAACACAAAACSAATAACACGAAAGAGCCTCTACTTCGACATAAACTACCACAACGGCCATGGCAACGAGTAGCGACGGACTTGTTTGAATACAAGAAACGACCACATCTACTCGTAGTTGACTACTACAGCCGATATCCGGAAGTGGCTGAACTGAGAGATATGAAGGCGAAARCAATAATCAACAAAATCAAGTCATTCTTTAGCAGACACGGAATCCCAGATGAAGCTACATCAGACAACGGTCCCAACTACGCTTCCCAGGAATTTAAAGAGTTCGCCAGTGACTATATATACGGTTTCAAGCATACTATCACTATCCCGAGATATCCTCAGTCAGGGGGGCTGCATGAGAAGACCGTACAAACTGTTAAATCCACGCTCAAGAAAGTGGAGGAATCAGGCGAGGATGTTTATCTCGCGCTACTGGACTATCGCAATAMTCCAGTAGATGGCGTTAGCCCCGCACAAGCCCTGATGAATAKGTCTCTAAAATATACAATGCCCACAACTCCACAGAACTTAAAACCTTCGTTGACAAACCACGACAGTTTCATAGCCAGAAGACAGGAAAATCAACAAAAACAGAGCAAATACTATGACCGATCAGTATGTATAACCGTCTGTTATTGCCACTTAAGGATAAAGAAGAGATCAGAATGAAGAAGAGCTCGGAAAGAGAATGGCAACCCGCTGTGGTAATGGAAAGACACAGTACTCTAAGGTCTTACATCGTAGCCACAGAGGATGGCTCTACCTAGAGAAGAAACAGAAAACACATACTCAAGCTTCAAGGGAGTTGCACAGAAGACGATCAGCCTACGGAACTAGAACTTAACACTGACATTGAAACGCACTCACAGGATAAACAAKAGACGACGGGAGACAAACCTAATCCAACGCAAGATCAACAAAATCCACCACTTCGAGTCAGCAGTTATGGCAGAGCTCTAAAGCCAAACCCAAAATACGTTTAGAAATTATTAGCGAACTTTTATGTAACCATYATATGTTTTGTTTAGGAAGGGAGATGTAATATATGACACTATGTCACGTGACTCCCATGTTACTTGATCTCTAGAGAATCAGTTGTAGCTCGACTTGAGGACGAATAAACTAGACTATCGACAWGACTAAACGCTTAGATTAATACACTTATTACAGTGTTAACTAGTTTTTAGAAGCAGATTGATATACTTATTACATTTCCTARAGAGGATTTCGTATGAGTGGGAAACGGACGGTACTGTACTGTAACCGTAATCGTACTGTAATCAAATTCTAGTGCCCCATTGTTTCACCAAAATTCTGCAGGCCAGGTGCGGTAACTGTGCGGTAACCGTGCGGTAACGGTGTCCCACTCATACGAAATCCGCTCTATAATCGGTCTTTACCTTCACACTTTGTACTTGCACACTTTGTTGGAGGTCGTTTGTAGTAATTGATGTAGTCACTGCCTGTTACATTGATCAGACTTACTGGGCATGATATGTGATTAGCATTATTCAGCTCGCATGTTTTGTTAACCTGGAAGAAGTTGATGCTATGGCAGTCGTTGTTAAACGAGCAGGCATCAGCACAGTCCTCCTTGGTTGGTACACAATCAAAAGTCATGATGACGAATCCCTCCAACTTTGAGTTCATGCGGTAATTGGGAGACACTTTGCACAACTCAGMCTCAATGTGGAGGACTTTCAGAAGAAAGGCAAGGCAAGAAAACACCAAGAGATCTCTTCCTAATCAACAAATAATAACAAGAACTGTCAATCGTCATGAACTTATTGTTATCGGAGCGTTTCTAAACGTCAGTCAATCGATTTTTTTTTGAAAAATCGTCGGAACAACTGTAATTTCAATTAATACAACAAGAGAAATGCAATAAAGACCGAAAGTTTGCTTATACACAAGCACGGCACTTTTAAAATATTTTTGCATGATGTTTAGCCCCAGAACTATACGTCGGGTTATCGATTTTTTGGTGAAAAATCGTCGGAAAAACCGTAATTCAATTAATAGAAGAAGAGAAAAATGCATGAAATAAAGACCGAAACAACATTGCTCGACAAGGTTGCACGGAACAGCTTTGAGGTGAGAAAAATGCATGAAATAAAGACCGAAATAACATTGTTCAACAAGGTTGCACGGCACTTTGAAAAATGGAAATTACAGTTGTTCCTACGATTAAAAATAAAATCAATTGACTGACGTTTAGTTCTGGGGCTATAATGAAACGTCAGGGAATCGAAAACTCTCTGCAAAGTGCCGTCTTGCGTATACAAACTTGCCGTATACAAACTTGCACAATTTATTATGAAGAGTACATCATGTATAATGTCAAAAACATARTTTAGTTATTCATTATAAGTAATACTATCATTTCCGAGGAAATAACCAGAAGGATATTGACAATTTGATTCTAACCGGAATAAATTACGTTCTTTAACAATGACCTGAACTTGACTAATAATTCTTGGGAAATCAAAAAAATTTGGTATCTATATATCGTAATACCATTTTAAGTATATTTTGCAATTCAATCTCTCATAGGAATACATTTCTGTTAACACATAAAGCATATTAATTCAGGAATGAGCTTTTACAATACTCCAGATTGATTAGAAATGGCAGAAAGTCGAAACTAAACTAAACTGCCCTCATGTTATTCATGAGGRAGGGATGTTRGGATGTAAACYTCCCTCCAAAGGCAATGGATACCGATGTGATCATGGAATTACGTTGGATATGTCACCATAGCATGTTTTTCCTCCATCCATTCCCAGCTACAGCAGCACTGTTATTAAACGATAAAAATTTATTGTTTCTGAAAATTACCTTTTTTAAAGAATCTCTTGTGAAGAGATGYTCCATCCATGTCAAATTGTGTATATACTGAGATCTCGTTGTCAAATGGCTGTGTCGGAGTGACATGGGAAGAAAGGGTAATCATTAGTAAAAGAAAAATCGACTTGTCACATCTAAAGCACAAGACAACACAGAAAAATAACATCATCAAAACATTTACAACTTAGAATTATATCTTTYATTGCACTTCGAACTGTAAATTATCATTGTTTCTATAAATTTSTTCTTTTAAAAGAAACAAAACATTTTTCCGTGCCTTCATCATAATATCCATCCATTGTTTAAAATACGYGAGGCAAACGTGTGTTCCAGCAGATAGTATAATATTTATACTATTCTAGTTCTAGTTTTTCAATTCGCACTTGAAAAACTGGTGACGGCAAAACCAAGTTTCATTAAAGAAATATAAAACGGCCGCTTGTGTCTCTGTCCTCTGATATAAACACGGTGGGAGTTCGAAAAACACTCGAGAAGCAAGSTTAGGAACACGAGCGTAGCGAGCGTAGCGTAGTGAATTTAGGCAGAACTTTTTGATAGTTAAAAATGCTTGAACTTCAAAATTAGGAAAGAAAAAATATTTTGTTCATTATATTTATTGACTTAAAAACAACGGAATTTTTGTGAATTCTAAAATGGTTGATGATAAGAATATTTGACTTTATTGGACTGACGCCGCCAGAAGCGAGCATGCATCCATCAGGGGAATAGGGTATGGATTTCGAATGTCCTTGGTCAATCACATCGCGAGTACTATTATAGCTATGCGATATTATAAAAATTTACAAAACAAAAGAAAAAAATATTGTCTGAAGACCAAACTTCTTGCAGAATTTCTGCTTTGACATATAGCTTGCGAGTAATACCATTCCCTTGTAAAAACCGTCGATGCAGAATCTCCGCATTTAAAGATACTTTCCGTAAAAAAGCAATTTCGATGTATGCACAGTTTCTACATTCGATGAAAGTAGTCAGTTAGAGATCCCATTCTCTTGAAAAAAAGTAAATGCAGAATTTCCTAGTAGAAATGCCCCTTTTATCTGCATCCTTGACACAAATTTGCATGCATTCTAGAATGATTTTTACTTGGAAAAAAGTCCAATAAATGATTTTCACTTACTTGGAAAAGAAGTCCAATATACAAAGCCGTTTTTCCCGGATCTTTTTAGCTTTCAGTGGAAAATTTCCGTTTTTCACTGAGACGAAGTTTTTGTCCGATAATTATAGACTTTTCTTCCTAAAAGAATGTAATTTTGATAAAGACTATTTTAGATTGGATTGCCTTTATGCAAAAAATTGTAATCAATTATTTATCGCTAATGACTTTTCCAGGTTTATAAGTTTGCTTTGCTCTCACTCGGCAACGCTACAGGTACACAGAAAAATATTATATAGAGAGAGGATTTTACATGGGTGCACGAAGATAAGGATTTTATCTTCTCGTGTTGAAAATCTCTCTCTCGATCACGTAATTCGTATCTCCAAGCGACTATGTAATATTCTGTTTATCATATAATTACATATGAAAGCAAATTATGTCATAAAATACCTTTTTTCTTACTTCCGCTATATGCTAGAGAAACGTCGAATGCGTTATTTTCACTAGTGAAAATATCAACTTTACGAAATAGTGGAGAAATATACTAGGTATTTCATAAATAATCATATGATAAATTACAATATGAGTACGTGACTAAGATAATCTGAGTAAATGGTACGA